CCAAGGCTCTGTTCCCAGAAAAGTCAGCAGGAATAACTCCAATGTTGCTCACTTATGTGGACTTAAACTCCAAAACAACAAGGTCCCATCTAGCCCAATGTCTCACACCCAGAGGGACAGCAGCATAGGAGATATTTACAGCTCTTATTAGGTATGTATCCCTCTTGTTATTCTAACCTCTCAGTACCAGATTTCCCTGTGGGTCACTGGTCTGGACAGAAAGAAATATTTCCTACTAATTGTCCCTGAGAGATCATGTTATAAATCAATTTATATTACTCCTTCTCTAGGAACCCTCCTGCCTTCCAGAGGTCTAACCTGCCAGTAACTTCCCCTTCCTCTGAGTTTGTTTTCTCCAAAGTCCAAGACTAAAGAACTTCTAACTAGATCCCTAGAATTTTCAAACCATTGAGTTATGGTGGGTGTGCAACTCCTGATATCTCCAGAAAATTGCTGTTCCATACTTCAAGAAAAGGAAGAAGTTTCTTGGATGCAAAACCATGGGTACTGGGGCCAGCAGGTGACCTGGTAGTTAAGGTACTGGGCTCTCACATGGCTGACCAGATTTGAGTCCCAGACACAGTGGCTCGAAAATCATGTCAGACATGTGTATATGTGTGCCCAAAATCCTAGGAGGAGAATGGAGGAGAAAGGATTGTGATGTGGTCATTCTCCATGTGGGGTGATTTCTCATTTTCCCTTTCTCTGTCTCTCACTGGGAAGTTCATATGCCCTATGGTAAAAACCTTAAAACAAACAAACAAACTAAAAACATAGTTACTAAACTTAGCTTCATGATTCTTTTGCCAAAAGAATTAGAAATTCTATACTTTTGTCACAAATTAAGACTTGCCCTTTAGTTCCTCATTACAAAATATTTGTTAATTAAAAGTGATGTATTAGAGCATTTTATCCACCGTTGCCTGGGCTTAGCACCTGACAGTGATGATCTGATTTTTAATTTTTTTTTTTTTGCAAGAATGAGACAGAGAGAGAGGGAAAGTGAGAAATCACCCTCTCCAAGGGGGATGGCCATGCCATAATCCCTTCTCTTACATTTTCTTTTCAAGATTTTGGGTAAGCAGGCACATGTACCTGACATGTATTTTTTCAAGACTCCAGGTCCAAGACTTCAAATTGGAGTTGATCATGTGGAATCTACAGCCTCAATCACCATACCACCTGCTGATCCATCTGATTTAATTTTTATAAAAGCCCATTCAGTGAGGCACTACATTACTATTATGAATGTCATTCTTCACTGCATAAATGGGACTCGGGTTGGTTTGATGTTTTGCTCAAATTTATTACCCAGTAATGGGTTAGAGCCTTGTTTGAAATTCTGGTAGGATGCTCTCAGTTCTCAAACTCTGGGTCAGTGATTTTCAACCAGAGTTGTCTTTGCTCTTGGTGGTATCTGGTAGCTGAAGGGATGCTGATAACCACCCACAGTGCACAGGGTTGCAGTCAACACACATAATTACCCTGGCCCCTAGGTCAATATTTCAGAACTGAGAAAACTTATTCTAGACCAGCACTTTTCCAAGTGTCAATGTGCACATTTTACATTTCATTATGTGAAGTTTATTATATATAATTTTATTCCAGTAAATGAGTTACATGTCCTTAAGGTGCATGACTTAGGGTGAGATCTTGGCACAGTAGCTGAGTCGCATACACAAAGGGGAAGATATCTCTTCTAATTGGAAAGAAAACAAAGGGTTATGTATGGGTAGAAGAACAGTGGGGTTGGGACCAGCAGTTGGCATAATGGCTATGTCGCTGGACTCCCATGTAGTCGACCATGGTTTGAGTCTCTAACCCAGTGGCTTGGACTCATGCCAGGCTCATGTGCATGTGTGCCCAAGATCCTGAGAGGAGAGTGGAGGAGAAGGGATTGTGGCATGACCATCCCCCCCGGGGGGGAATTTCTCACTTTCTGTCTCTCTGTTTCTCTCAGTCTCTCTGGCAAGTGCACATGCCCTGTAACAAAAAAAGGGACTATTCTATGCAGTTCACATTTGATAAACTCATTTTTCTATAAACTGAAAGATTATTTTCAATATAGAAATGGAGTAAACCAATTGTAAATTGGTC